TTTATCAAGGATTTCATTTTACTTGAATCTCCAGTCAATGCCCATGGAAGTATGACAGGCAGGGAATTGGGCTGGCTGAATCAAGCAACCTCTGACTCAGTGTTCCTGGAATCTAAGCCTGTGTACAGACCACCAGATAACTCTTGCTGTTGGTGCCAGAGAACTGCTTGCCATTAACAAGCCAGGCCGTTAGATAAGATAAAAAGCTACATTCCAAAGCCCCACAAGCTTGACCAATTGTAAAATGCTGATAAGCCTCCTGAGTTGTCTTTTAAGTTCCTCACCAAGTGCAGAGCATGGGCAGTAAAGGTCAACGTAGCTGACAAGTGACCTTCCACCAGAGGCACTCAAGAGCAGGAGTCCCTCCCTGGGACTTGAACCAGAGTCCAGAGACAATCACAAGTATGCAACATCCCAGAATAAGTCGTGTCAAGCATCCCATCAGTCTTTGTGATGGATTCCGTCTTTGTTCCCACAGTGTTTGCAGTGGAATCCATCTAGGTTTCTTCCTGCGTGCACATCTGATTTTCAGAATCCCGCCTCTTTCCTGGAGTTCTCCATCTATTTCATTAATAAAAATGATGCCTTTTTCCCCCACCTAAAACCCTTTATAAACACTAGGTAATCCTTTGTTCTGTGAGAGATTGGAGGCTAGTGTAGGCGAAAACACCTCTCCATCTCTCCCTTGTGAGCCTCTCTCCTCTCCTCTCTGTTTAATAAACTTTGGTATGTGTGGGCATCTTGCCTCTCCTGTTCAATTCTGTCAGTAGATGGCAAGGACCCTTGCTCAGAGTCCCAGGACTCCCTGTGACAGAAGTAGCAGTCAAATAAATGATGTATTGCTTTGAGCAGATCTGTTGCAAAAGACCCCTTGAAAGTGTTAAAGAGCAAAGGTGTCATTTTGAAGACTAAGGTGTTTTTTCAGTAGCCTCATATGCATGTGAAAGCTGGACAGTGAATAAGGAAGACAGTAGAAGTGATATATTTGAATTGTGATGTTGCAAAGAATATTGAATATACCATCTACTGCTAGAAGAACAAACCCACCTCTATCTTTGAAGAAGTACAGCCAGAATGCACCTTGGAAGTGAGAATCTCTCATACTTTGGTTATGTTTTCAGGAAGGACCAGTCTCTGGAGAAGGATATCATGCTTGGTAAAAAGAGGGTCAGAGAAAAGGGAAGACCCTCAGCAAGATGGAGTGACACAATGGCTGCATAGCAATGATTGTGAGGATGATTCAGGATCAGGCAGTGTTTTGTTCTGCTGCATGCAGGGTTGCTATGAGTTGGAATCGACATGATGGCACCTAATGACAAGGTGTGAGTACGGGCCGGGGCGTGACCGGCACGGGGTGCGGGGGAAAGCTGCACGATGGCGCGCCCGGAGCTATGAGTCGGGGGCAACTCGACGGCACATAACAACAACAACAACAGTGACAAGGTAGAATATTCACCACCAATTCTATATTGGTTCATCCCATCTGATTTTGAAGTTTGTAGTTATGTGAAACCCCAAACTGTGTACTGTGGCTTATTTTGTATGTCACACTGAAGACTGGAGTTGATATGTCTGCCCTTGTGAGGAGATGTCCTCACATGCTGTGGAAAGGAACAGAAGGATCTTAGTTACCTTTGCCACTGAGAAGAGAACCCAGTGGCCAGTGTTGTTCCATTCTGGCTGAGCCTTGATGTGACTTCTCTGAAGGCCTAATGTATTCATAGGACTGTAGAGTTTTGGGGTTTATCTGTCCCTTCACAGCTTACTGTAGGTTCAGGTGACTTTCCAAATAATACCTCAGCTCTTACCCATATTTTATTTTTCTCTTTACTCTTGGCTTCTGCTGGTGCATCTTGGCTTTGTTTGGAGCTGGATTTGTATACTTATAGCATCTCATTTTGAAGATTCCTTTCCATCTTCATTAGAAAATCAGTAAATTAATTTTTGTGTTTCTGGCCTTTCTTAGGTACTAGGATATGCTCATTTGGAGATGTCCTTGTTTCTGTGGTTTTAGCTTTCCCAAGGAAAGGTGACCAGACATTTGGTTGCTGACTAAGTGGTTTGTTTATATCTTGGTTAATTAAGCTCTAGTTACAGTTATTCAACTAACCATGTGTTTCCGTATTTGAGATGTCTCTAGCAACCCACTGTATAGCAATGGGGAAGGAAAAGGTGAAAGAAAACATTAGGATGCTCTATATAAACATCCTGGTTTTAGATTTCTCATACTTTTGTTTATTTATTTATGTACTTTTTTGAAACCTTTTTTTTTTCCTCCCCTCCTCTCTGAGGCATAGAGTGACCCAGTTTGCAAAATGGGGTTTAATTGTTGCTTTAGCTTATAGGTCTCCACTGGGACTTTCTGAAGCGATACTATTTCTTGAACCTTGGGAAATATTATGTAGGTCCATATATTTTAAATTTTGAAAGATGGGAAATATAGTTTTGTATCAATGTACAAATTTGTTTATTGAATTGATGTTTACAGTTAGTGAATTTGCTCCTTGAATTGTAAGCTGTAAGGAGCACTTTACTGTAGCTCGTCTCATGTCATCTTTCTATAAGTTTCTCTGTAAATGTCAGTTAACAGTATTTCTGTTAGAAGTGATGAAGATAATTCAACTGCTTTGCTGACAAATGCCCTTTAATCAAACTTGAAGGAATAATCAAGCTTTAGTCATTGGCTTGTTTTCATTTCCAGAAATATTTCACCAAAACATTTCATTGTAGCATAAAAGTTTAGACAGCATGAGTGGGCTTTTTTCAGTGTTTGTGCTGCACAAGTATTATTATGAGTTAGTTTTTGTAAACTAGCTTCATTTCTCTAGTGGAAATTGACCCTCACTGCTAGGTCATCCAAAGCAGTTTTGCTCAATGCTGTGACCTCTCTAGGCCTCCAGTAGTCTTCTATCATCAAGTCATAAAAGAGTGAAACACCCCCATGCCCACCCCAAAGCTGCTTTATCTGTCCTAGTCAGGGTGAGAGAGGGAACAGAGGTATGACTAAGAGGGGAGAGTATGAAAGTGACTCTCCTCTGAGGATATGGAGGAAGAATCTACTTTATTTACTATTTAAAATCTTTGAGGCTAAAATTAGTAGAATGAGCAGTCATTTTAGATGGAGTTGGATGAGCTAGTTAGGAGCACCTGCATTATTTACTGCTCAAGCATCAGCTGAGCCTCCTAAATGGAGGTGGAGTTCTTTTAATTGAGGTAATAGTCAGCAATAGAGTTAATATACCTGCTTTCTTCTGTTGCCCTGTTTTGGTTACCTAGTGCCGCTCTAACAGAAGATACCACAAATGGGTGGTCTTAACAAACAGAAGTTTTATTCTCTTACAGTTTAGGAGGCTAGAAGGCCAAGTTCAAAGTGCCAGCTCTAGGGGCTTGATGAAAGCCCCTCGACCTTGGGCTTCAGCTCTGCCTCTTGCTTTCAGCCCACTGGAGCTGGAGGCTTTTTCTTACCTAAGACAGCTGCTGGCTCTGATGCTAACAAACCCAAGGTTGACAAATAACATGGCACAGTCCGAAGATTACCAAACAGCATAGCAGGTCACTAGTTCAAGCCCAGAGATAGTCCCAAGATCAGCAGACAACATGGCAGGCTGTTGAATGAAGCCTCGGCTATATGCAGAGTCCACAAAAACTAAAACCATACTCACTGCTGTTAAGTAGGAACTGACTCCTAGTGACCCCTCCTTGGGTTCCCAAGGCGGTATCAGCACGGAAATAGATTGCCCAATCTTTCTTCTGAGGAGTGGCTGGTGGGTTTGAACCTCTAGCCTTCTGGTTAGCAGTCAAATAAATGCCTTATGCACTATGCTACCAGAGCTCCTCATCCAGAGTACAGGTGTGCCAAAAAGCTGCAGAGACCTTTCTCAAAACTTTATACTTGGAAGCAGACCACATCCCTAAGACAGCTTTTCAGCTGCTCCAGTAGATTGCACCATGGAGTTGATTACCAGTCTCATCATGGGGAATAACTACATTCACCTGCCCAGCCACTCAAAACCAGGTCCAGGCAAGTTGACACATAACCTTAACTACCACATGCCCATTTTTGGCTAGTTGATTTTTAAATAAAATATTGTATGAAATAAGATAAAATTCAAATAAGTTTTTTATTTTAGCAGTACTATAGAATATTCAGAAGGTTGAAGCTATTGCTTATTATCAAATTGAGATCACCTCTCCATTTTATTTATTTGTGTGTTTTAGTCTAAGAAACAAATAATGGAGATGATGCTGAGATTTAAAGATCTTTTTCATGGAATTAGTCTTTTCCTCTTTAATATTTATTGTTACAGGTTCTATATGGGTCTTTAGAAATCATCTCATTTTGTATTTTTGAATGAGGAAATTTGAAATATGTTAAGTACCTTGTCCACAATTTATAATCCTCTGTTGTGTGAATCAGTGTGTGTGTGTATCAGGGGAATCAAAGAATCAGTCACATTGCTATCCATTGATTGTTAGTGGCCACGCAGTATCTCAAGGGGCCAATAGAAATTTATCAGAATTTGTTATACAAGCCTTATGATAAAAATGATCTTGCCAATGAAGAAAGGGAAATCATAGACAGGTCACCCATGTAATAAACACATTATATAGTTAGCATTTGATGATGAATTTAAATTTGTGGATGTATTCAGTGTAGGGAATGAAGTAGATGCTCAACTTCAGAGAAAGTATGTCTTGTGTTCTTTGTGTAAGTGCTTTTTGTGGCTCTTGATTTCCTCCTTCTGGCCTCTCATTGCACTTCATATTTTGGTTAGTTTTTCCCAATAGACTCTACCTATAAGGGCAGGAAGCCTCTGTCTTGTTCACTGTTCTCTCTAGCACCTAGTAACAGAAATAATTATTGATTGATTGCCAGGTTGGCTTAGCCTGCTTTACATGACTATATGGGGCACTCACTGCATTTTGCAAATATTAAGGTTAAAATATCTATATTTTGTTTTTACAGTGAACAGAGTATCTGTCAGGCAAGAGCTGCTGTGATGGTTTATGATGATGCCAATAAGAAGTGGGTGCCAGCTGGTGGCTCAACTGGGTTCAGCAGAGTTCATATATATCACCATACAGGCAACAACACATTCAGAGTGGTGGGCAGGAAGATTCAGGATCATCAGGTAAGATTCTATTGAAATTCTTATTTAAAAATTATCTAATTTTAAAAGAAGACTTGGTATATTCAGTAGAATAAAGTAGTGATATAAAACTGTCATCAAAATAGTCTCCATGGCAAAAATTGAATATAGTCTTTGCCTTTTTCATCTTACCCCTTTCACCTTTTATGAAGTATGGAGTTAGATGAAGATGTAGAACTAATTGTACAAGAATATAAATACTCCTTTTTCTATGATGATTCTTTAGATCATCTGGCCCTCCACTAGGTAGTTTTTGGAATCTAAAGTAATCTAGGACAGACAAAAATGACATAATGCTTGTCTTAGTTACATGTACTGCTATTAAAGAAATACCACAGTGGCCTTAACAAACAGAAGTTTATTTCCTCACAGGTTAGGAGTCTAGCATTCTGAATTCAGGGTGTTGGCTCTAGGGCAGGGCTTTCTCTCTCTGTCAGCTCTGGAGGAAGGTCCATGTCTCTTCTGAGCTTGTGCTCCTGGGCAGTCTTCATGTGGCTTGGCATCACTCTTGCCCCATCTCTGCCTGATTCTGCTCTTTTTATATTTTGTATGAGATTGACTCATAACTCACCCTACACTAATCCTATCTCATTAGCATGACAAAGACAACACATTCCCAAATGGGATTATATCTACAAGTGTGGAGATTAGGATTTACAACACGTATTTTGAGGGGATGCAGTTTAGTCCATAACACTACTTAAATAACAGATTACATATTTTAGGAATTCATTTCCTGCCCAAAATAACAGGATGTGGGGATTGAAGAAGTAGTTAACAGTGTAAGTAATATCAGAGAATATTGTTAAATTCATATATGATAGAAAAATAGTAGATATTAAGGTTGTTAGAATAGTTGGGCTTTGTGATTCATGTCCTAGGCACAACGACTAAGCTTTTACTAATTTCCAGCTCTGAATTTCCTACAAGGTGAGTGGATTATCTGGATATGTGATTTCTTTGGCTTTAAGAGATTAGGATCATGGAGTGAAATTTGTGAGAGTCGGGGCTCCACAGGACTGCCTTGTTTTCTGAGTCTCAGGTTTTCCGCCTTTGACAGGGTGCAGTCTTGTGACTTCTCTGTTGCTCTTATGAGTAGGAATTACTTTTCCTTCTCTGACCCATTTCCACTTTAAGCAAGTTCAGGCTTTCTGAAGTTTTACTGTATATGCTAATAGCAGCAAGAACTTTTATGAAGAGTAGATTTTATGAAATACTTCAGTTTTTGGTAAGATGATAGAATCAACCAATGTTAATACCATTCAACTACAAATAGAGGAAAAAGTATGACACGTTTTCAATTTCGGTGCCCATCTGAGTTCTAATCAAAGGAAGTAAGATCCCTAGTTTTCCACTAGGAAACATGTAAACGGATATTGTGGCAGCCGTGAATTTTGGGATAGAGGTTATGGACTAGTAATAATACCTAGAGACTTAGACTATCCTACATACATATCAGGATAAAGGTAGTGCTCTTAAAGGAGGTACACCTGTCGGCACAGAAAGCAAAGGAGTGTCTTTGTGTGAGCTGGATTAGGAGTTACCCTGAGAAATGGGAATCTCAGACTTTACTTACACAGTTCCAGTCCAGAAATTAATAAAGACTGCTCCCAGTCAAGTGAAACTCCTGGGGTGTGTGGTAAAAACAAATACTGTACTTTCCTGGAGGGAAGCATTCAGTCAGTCCACATAAAGAGCAATTCCCCGAATTTACCAAATTTATTTGTTTGATGAAAACTGTCCTAGTTGGGCCCCTCTTTTTGCCTTCTCAGATTACCTTCTCTCTTTGCCTCTCACTCCCTAGTGTCCCGATTTTTAACTTAGTATCTCCACTTCCCCTGTTGCCCAACCCTTGTCTGGTTTCCCCAGTCTCTGAATTGTATGTCCCTCTCTGCCCTGATCATGCTGAGTGCTTTCTCCAGCAGTGTCCCTGCAGTGAGTTAGGCCAGAGACAAACCAAATATTCCCTAAGATACTATTATAAAGAAAAAATGAAAACTGGACAACTAAAACTTCGTAGGATTTGTTGAACGCTCTTTAATACAACATTCCAAACAAATAGCTATAAAAGAAGTAAATAAAATTTAGGTTAATTTGGTGAATTGGTCATTTGAGAGTATTGATGAACAATCCTAAAAATGTCTAAACATTGGTAAAAGAAACAAATGAATTTAAAAATAATTAGAAATGTATGTAAGCCAGGATATTTCCATATGAGATACTGAAATTTTTATTCACCAGAGAATTAAGCCATTCTATGACTTCTCACTTTTCACATATGGAGTGTTTGTTAAAGTTTTTGGAAATTTAAATACACACTTCTAAATAATTTGTGACACTAAGACCATTATGAAGATTAGAAAATATTTGGAAATTAATAAAATAGCTGGGCCTTGTTGTTGGGTGCCATTGAATCGGACCTGACTCATAGAGACCCTTCCTTGGGTTTCCAAGGCAGTATCACTACTGAAGTAGATTGCCCAACCTTTCTGAGGAGTGGCTGGTAGGTTTGAACTGCCAGCCTTCTGGTTAGCAGTCAGATGCTTTAGGCACTATAGTACCAAATATTGCTATATAGAAATTTGTGGAATGAAGCGATGGCTCTCTTTACAGGGATAAGTCTTAATTGCATATAGTAGGGAAAAAAAGTAAAAGTAAGATAAAGAGTAGTGAGCTTATTGTAAGTGGCCGCTTAAGGTGCAGCTGTTGTTCTTTCCCTGTTCGGAGCAAAGAAGAATGAAGATAATCAAAGATGCATGGAAACAACTAGTCCAAAGGACTAATGGACCATGTGAACCTCAGCCTCCATGACCCTTAGATGAGAAGAGCTAGATAGTGCTCAGCTACTACTGCTGACTGCTCTGAAAGGGATGACAACAGGAGATCCTGGATTAGGTGGGAAATGTGGAACAAAACTTAGAATTGTAAAGACCAAGCTCACTGGTCAGATAAAGACTGGTGGAACCCCTGAGACTATGACCCTTAGTCACCCTACAAGCCCGGAACTGAATTCACTCCTGTGGCTCAACTTTCAGACGAACCATAGGTAGGTCTCTAAGGTGAATAGTAACAGCAGGGAGGTACACACTCCTTACAATTATCAACCAAGGACAAAGTTGAAACTTCAGAAGGCAGGAAAAGATAGGAAAGAAGGAAGAATGGAAACAAACACAGGAAGGAAGTGCGATGAGTAATGCATTATGGGCATTGTAGTCAATGGCATGAAATAAAATGTGTATGAATTGTTGAATGGGAAACTGGTTTGCTTTGTAAAACTTCACCTATATCACAATAAAAAGTTTTTCTTTTTCAAAAAAGTAATGAGCTAACCCAAAGAATGTAGAAGAATATATTAAAGAAGAAATGAATTAAATAAAAATAAGACAAGGCACAAATAAGCAATATTAGGAATGAAAAAAAAGATACAACTATAGTTACAGCAAGGAAATAAAAAAATTTGTAAGAGAAGATTATGAATAGCTTTATGCCAATAAATGGACTGTTTATAGTAAAGTACTATTTTTCCAAAATTGATAGAAAAAGTGGAAACTTAACAGATCTTCAATCATAAAATAAATCAATAGTTAATAATTTATCCCCAAAACATAAGCAAAGGGGGAGGGGAGATGAGAACATTCACAGATGAAATCTAAAAACTTTCAAGATATTATCTCTTTTATACATACTGCTCTAGAGAATAGTATATTATGTTATTATTGGGTTCTATCGTTAGGTGCCATCAAGTTGATTCTGACTCATGACCTCCATCATTTTGGTATTTAAAACACAGAAGAATAGTTTGAGAGAGGAAAATTATTAAACATGTAAACCTTCTGTAGTAAGAGCACTTTAAAAACAACTCACCATTTGTTTCTAAAGTTGAATATGTACAAATCATATAGATATAAATCCTAAAAGGATGTGAGGGTGGTGTCTGACCTCCTCTAATTCACAAGTTGGGAGGAGGATCAAGATTAACGCCCAGGGGTGATTCCTATTAGGTGGAGGTCAGACATGCTGCCACACTCTAGTCTTTTTACCAATTGTCACACTAACCGTCCTTCCCACGGCACTCATCTCCTCTGCTGGGTTCAGTAATTTGTTGCATGGACACACACAAATCACAGACAATACTCACGAATGTGGCATTTATCAGGGAAGTAACAGGTTGCAATTCAGTGTTAGAAGCAACTCAGGATACAGTTCTTCAATCAGGACAGTTGCTTCTGAGCCTTGCCAAAGGCACGCTTCTCTGGCCTTGGCCTCTGCCCTGCTCGTGCAAGTGTTAAAGAGCTGTTTTAGTTTGCCGATAGGTTCCCAGAGAGGCATCCCATTCTGCCATCAAGCTTCTGCCTGAAGGCACTCAGCTTTCTTGCTCCGTGGGCCAGGAAGCCCACTGTGTTGTCTCATGCTGGTCTCTTGTTCCCGTCAGGTCTGCTGCCTTTGCAGCCGCCTTTTCTCTGCTTCTGCTTCTTACCGTTGTGGCGAAGTGTTTCCTGGATTGAGGAAGTTCAGTGCAGGGATCTCAAGTCCAAAAGATGCACCCCACTGCTGGCTCTCTTTCTTGAAAGCAGTGAGATCTCCCTTTCCACCTCTCAGATAGCTCATTTTAAGCCTAGTGAGAAGGCAAAGCTGACTGATCCATATGTTAGGGTTCCATACACATTATTTTCATGATCTTACCCCCACAAGGGTGGCATGTACCTTATTTACATTATTAGCAAGCTATATAAACTCTTGGTGTGAGGTACATTTGCATAGTCCCACCCAGTCATGGTGGGACTCACAAAGACTATGGCTGCAAGGACTATATCAAGCATTTCACTGAACCACAATAACTACCACCAGTTGCTGTTGTCACTTCTATCTCATGGTGACCCCCGATGTGTTTCATAGTATAACTGTACACCATAGGATTTTCAATGCCTGTGACCTTTTGCAAGTAGATCACTAGACCTTTCTTCCATATAGAAACACAAATT